GACCCATCCAACCCTGCTCCCTGTCTCTTGACTGCCCCCTCCAGAACCTCCCTGCCCCTTCTCCGGCCCCCTGGCCCCCTTACCGTGCTGCTCAGAACAGAGGGCTGCAGAGCAGCGTGCTCGGCAGCAGGGGAGGGGGGAGCAGGGGAAGGAGCTCCAGACTGCCGGAGGCCCGATGCGAACGGCCGGCCGGCGATCTGTGAATGCAGGGAGGGGGAGAGAGAGAGCGAGAGGAGGGGAGTGATTTCAAGCTGCAGGGAAGAGGAGGGGGAAGCGGAGGAGGGGGAAGCGGAGGAGGGGCTCTGGCTCTCAGAGCCCCATGCAAGTGGCACGATCCGGCCGGCTGCCCTGTCAGCCACGCGCTCTCTGCATTGGGGGGAAATCCGGACATTTAGGAATTCCCCCCGGATGCTATTTTTAACTCAAAAAAGTCGGACATGTCCGGCAGAATCCGGACGAATGGTAACCCTAGTAGAAAAGAAATGGCTGTTTAAAGGCTGCAATGGCTACTAAACAAGGTTCTGATAAAACAGAAAACCAATTTGTTCTCGTGTGGAAGTTGAGACATTGCAAAATATGAGAAGGCTCCATTTTACCAGAACAAAATGGATTGCTGCAAACTAGTCTGGGCAAAGATTCTGGACCTGTATTGTGAATAACTTGATTGTGGGCCTATTCTACTGTACTTGCCACTTTTGCGTGTGTACAATATACTCCTGTTTATCCAAAATTCTATTATCTGAACCGCCACAGTATCCGACTCTCTTCCTTGCATGCTTTCTGTATCTCATGCTGGGGAACAGGGAAGGGATTCGGATAAGGTGGAGGTTTGGATAATAGAGCAGAGACTCCAGCCAGGACTGTGAAGAGGAGGACAAGCCCCAGATGTGGGGGAGGCCACATGGCTGCTGATTGGCTCCAACAGCAGCACAGGGAGCCCTCTGCACCTCCACTGTCACAGCCCTGCTTATTCATTCCCATGACAATGGTCTACAGAGAGTTCCCTGCACTACTGCAGGGCAGGTGACACCCAAACCCTGCTGGTGCAAAGTGCAGGAAAGGCTGCAGTCCTGGCGGGACAGAGCAGAATCTTGTGATAAGTCAAGAGTTCTTTTAATAGTGTCCCTATAGATGTTTCATTCTTGGTACGTGTGCCCCCCAGGCATCCTTAATCAGAGATTTTCATTAGCAGCCTCCGTTTGACCAGCATATGTAGCATTGGTATCTTCGTGCCCCCCCACCAAAGCTATATCAGGCTGTGCAGGTGAATTGCCCTCCCATTCCCCCCACCCCCAGTTCCTTTTCAATGGCCTTGGCCTGAGACAGAGCTAGTGTGTCTGCTTCTTGCCTACCTCAGTAGTTTTGGAGCTTCTCGTTAGTTAGTTAGCCAGTTAGTTGTAGTTAGTTCTCCCTGTGAGGGGCATGCCTGGTTCACCGGGGTGTAAACATTGCCTTTTGTGTAAAGAGGCCATCCCAATCAGTGACGGACAAACCAAGTGTGTTCGCTGCCTGGTCAAATCGCATGTGCCTTAGAAGTGCAACTTCTGTCTAGTCCTGAAATCAAGGGCTCAGAGAAACCAAGAAGTCAAACTTTGATTCCTTATGATGGAGCGTCCCCTTCGCCCCACTTCAGAACCAGGTCAGGACCTTCCAGATGTCAGTCTCCAGAAGTTTCTAGCGCCCCTTCCCACTCAGTGCAACATTCTCCTAGGAAAGAGAAACCCTCAGAGCCCTCTAAAAAGCCGCTAAGAAGAAGAGATATAGTTCCTCTCCCATGGATTCCCCCTCAAAAAGACCTCTGTCTCCAGCCAGATCTACAGCCTCTGAGATGTCTTCCTCAAGGCTCATTACTATAGGAGGGAAAGGCTCCTCTGGTACAGGGGATGTGGGAAAATGCCATGGCTCTAAGACTAAACAGGACTCCAGAAAGACGCTGGTACCATTGGCTGGGGACAGTACCAAATGTAGAGGATTGATCCATTGACTTGAACTCTACTCTCAGTGCCCTTACCAAGTCGCAGTACAGTATAAACCTTCAATCTCATTGGCACCACCCTTGAAGCATCTTAAGGCTTTGGTTCCATCAGATAAGGACAAACACTTGATATCACAACCCCACTTGATACCGCAACAGTTATTGGTACCATTAGACTTCAGATACCAGAGAGACTTGGCAGTCATTGCCGAACCAGAGTCTCCATTGTTAACAAGTATCAAAATCTCTTGGTCTCTGGATCCCTTTACATCCCTGGTACTATTGCCCCCCCAATTCTCTAGGAGCTCCTGATTTAGAAGAAGAAGAGCATGACAAGGATGATGACCTTCCCTCTGCTTCTTCCATTTCAGTGCAGTATTCGCCAATACAC